GATCTCCATCTCTTTTTCTCTTCTTCACTCCTTCTCATGATTGATCCTTCTTTTTCTCTTTCCCCTCCCCCCTTCTGCTTCCTTTTTTCGGTCCTCCGTCCTGCGCCCCATCCTCCTGCTCCTCCTCCTCCTCCTTCTCCTCACTGTGTTCTTCCTCGTCCACTTGCAGTGCTTTTCAAAACGTTTCGCGCATACCGCCCGCTCATTCTAGTTCTCGCCAGAAGAGCCGAACACGGCCCAAAGACTGGATGAGGAACCGCAGCACAGAGTCAGACACGGTCCCGCAGGCTGCCGACGATGGTCAGAATGCTGCCCGCAGCCGCGCCAGTCCCCGACACGGCCCCACGAGGCGCCTCAGAGCTGCCGGACAGAGCTCCGAGACAAGGCCAAGCAGGGGCCGCGAGGGGCCCAGGGCCACTGCCCAAGCGCGTTCATCCCCGTGCTGGGCCCAGGCGCTCGGCATCGCTCGGACGTGTGCATTCTTCTCTCGGCGAGGACCATCGAGGAGCATCCTTGATCATTTGGCGAAAAAACCACGCACGAAACCGAAACAAAACACAGGGAATGGACGTCCGAGCGATGGCCAGGGCGCCGTCCGAGCGTATCACGCACCGGGGTTGGGTCGGGACCGGTCTGGTGCTCGTCTCGGGGCCCACGTTGGGCCCCCCACATCGCCCCAGAGCTGTTCCCAGGTCGCGTCGACGACAGCGCAAACCGTGGAGTGCGTCAGGACGCCACGGCCGTGAGAGGCGCCTGGGCATCCCCCAGTGAGGCGAACACCATACAACTCATACAGGGTTCAACATGTTTCGCCTTCTCCGACTGGGTAGCTGGAGTTGAGCGAAAGTGCCGTTCCTGCAGGCCGAAAGTGCTGATCTTGGAAGCCGAGAGAAGGGCCAATGGCCCGAGCCTCCTGGGGGAGGCCAACCAGACGGGCCGAGGTCCTGCTGACACACCCGCGACTTCCAGGGGGCCTTGTCGTCGATCATTGCCTGTGGAGCACGGGCCTCCGGGCCGCGCATGATGAGACTGAGCGGCGGCACGCCATCCGTGCCCGCACCGGCGATGCCGCTGTAAACCGTCCGCCTCCCATCGGGTACAGTCGGGGCCTTGACCTAAGGAACCCTAAATAAGGAACGAGGCCCCTATGTTCCATAAGTTAAACTTCGATTTCGTACCGAAACCATAAGGAAAATCTGAGGCAAGCTGCGAAACAATTAAGGAACACGGAGCCCCTCCCAACGAAAAGGGTTCCTTCTTCGGGGCCCCGACTGTATTACTAGCAGTGCCCCTGGCCCAAGGTGCCCCCAGGATTCTCGGCGTGGCCCAGACGGCCTCCAGAGCACCCCTAGCGAGGCCCAGAGGGCCCCAGGGGCCCCCAAATGGAGCGAACAGCTGGGGGCACCACCCACCAAACCACCCCAACCCGACCCGAAGGCCTCAATTTGCCCTCCATTTCCAGTGGGGGGGGTCGGGGATCATTGAAAAAACACAGGTGGATCCCGTACCCCTCCCAACCCGAAATCTGGGTCTTAGGGTTGGGTTGGGATGGTCTGGTATGCAATCATGGGGGTGCCTTGGGCCAGGGGCACTTCTGGCAGCACCCGAGGTCCCTCGCCCCTCTGGCCCTCCTCCACTCGACCGAGGCCCACTAAAATTGAGTCGGGCCTGTCCCTCTACAGGGGGAAGATCCCAAAATAGTGAAAAAATAGTCTGGGGACTAGTTTTGGAATATCTTGTGACCATGTTGGAGCCTCTTTTGAGCATTTCTTATTTTTCGTCGAGAATCCCCCTGTAGGGGGACGGGCCCGACTTAGCACCAAAACCCAGGAGCCCGCCGCCCAGCCGGACCCCTCGCTGTGCGCGCCGAGCCCGCGGCCCCGGAGGGGGGCGGCAATGATCAGGAGGGGGAAAAACACACCCAGTCACAATGAATCGCCCATTCCAAGGAAAATATGGGAAACTATGGGAAGTGGGGGGGAAAGCAAAAACCTAGAAAGTATGGGAAGCTATAGGGAATCCTGCTGTTTGTGTCCCAGGGCCCCAGGGCCCCATGGCCCCTTCAAAGGAGGGCCGGCGCTCCGCGCTCCGCGGCCTGGGCCGCCGCTGCGCTCCCTGGAGCCGGGCGTGCCCCTTTTATGCAGCCAAGGCGCCGAAACAAGGAACACTTTGGACTCGGAAGGGGCTCGATCCCTCCCTCCTCCTCCTCCTCCTCCTCCTCCTCCTCCCTCCTCCCTCCTCCTCCTCCTCCTCCGCCTCCTCCCCCTCCTCCTCCTCCTCCCCCCCCTCCTTCTTCCTCCTCCTCCTCCTCCACCTTCTCCTCCTCCTCCTCGCTCCTCCTCATACTTACCATCCTCATCCTCCTCCTCCTCCCTCCTCCTCCTCCCTCCTCCCTCCTCCTCCTCCCTCCGCCTCCTCCCCCCTCCTCCCCCTCCCCCTCCTCCTCTCCTCCCCCTCCCCCCTCCCTCCTCCTCCTCCCTCCTCCTCCTCCTCCTCCTCCTCCTCCTCCTCCTCCTCCTCCTCCTCCCCCTCCTCATCCTCCTCCCCCTCCTTCTCCCTCCTCCTCCTCCTCTTCTCCTCCTCCTCCTCGCTCCTCCTCATACTTACCATCCTCATCCTCCTCCTCCTCCTCCTCCCCCCTCCTCCCTCCCTCCTCCTCCCTCCGCCTCCTCCCCCTCCTCCTCCCCCCCTCCCCCTCCTCCCCCCCTCCCCCTCCTCCTCCTCCCTCCTCCTCCTCCTCCTCCTCCTCCTCCTCGCTCCTCCTCATACTTACCATCCTCATCCTCATTCGTCATCCCACCAGCAAGGACGATACTCCTTGCGTCCTTCCGTGGTAGTTCCCCTAGCCCTTCTCGTGCACCCAGGCTTCTTTGAAGCCACAGGGGGGCTCCGTTCCTTCTTTGGCGTTCCTTACTTCAGCAGCCCGACTGCACAGGAGGCGAGTTCAGCAGGAGCCCAAGACTAGTCCGAGGGCGATTCCTCGATGCCTTTGGATGACTTTTTGGGGTATCTCTTGTGTGTCTCTTTCCCCCCTCCCCAGAAGCCCGCCCGCAGGGGGGCACGCCCGACAGGAGCCTCTCCCCGGGTGGCGGCGCGAGAGCGCGGGCGCGTGGCCTCGCGCCTCGCGCCGCCTATATAGCGCGCGGCGCGGCAGACGGGCGAAGTCTCTCTCTCGGCTGCGCCCCGCGACCGCCGGCGCCCGGCGAGTCGGGAGGCCCCCCCGGGAGCGGTTGGAGCGGTAGAGGGGGCCTCGGAGGATCGCGCCGCGCCGCCGATGCGCTGGCGATGCGTCTCGGTGCGGGGCCCGGCTTTTGCCACGCCGGCGGCGGCGACGCCTCGGCGATGCGGCGCGCTCCTCGGACCCCATCCAATCGCAGACTTCTCCGCGCTGTCAACAGCAGTCACGACAGAGGATGTCGGGCCCTCTCTGGGCCTCGGGCCGTCGAAGTCACGACTCGGGATGAGGAGCCTGACCCCTGTGATATGATCGAGACCTCTTGGCCAACAAATCTCGTCTGAGGTCTGGGCTAGGCTTCTGCCAAGGCGGCTGCCGCAGGGGTAGCAGACGGGCCCTGGCCTAGCTGGAGGAGTTCCCCAGCTGTGGCTGGTAGGGATGGGCTCCCCTCGCGCCGGTGGGGCGCTCCCCAGACCAGACATCTGACGGCGTGCCTTTTCGCAGCGCGGCTCTCCAGAGGTCATGGACCCCTTGACCTCTTCCCCGTGGACCAGCTTGCCGTTCCGAGCCACTTTTTGACGGCCCTGGGCCCTGGCAAGGGCCCCCGGAGGCCAGAAACGGCCACAAACTTCGCGAGGCTCAAGGGACGGTGGTCAATGCAGCCGGAGTTCAGGATCTTGCAGGATCCTGCAGAGCCAGGGCTGCACTGACCCGGCTTAGGGCGCAGGATCCTGCAGGATCCTGCATGATCTTCCAGCTGCAAGGCTTGACTGACCCAGGGTTTGCGTTGACCAGGGTCAGTGCGTCCCCGACAAACCTCCTGTCGTTCTTCTGTGTTGTCCACGGCGCGGGAATGTTTCGGTGGCGCGCAAGGTTCGCAAGAGTGCGCGGGGGTAATTGGGCCTCCTCAGAAGGCGGCGGGGCCTCTCATGAATCCCTCTCACTCCTGAGCCTGCTGAGGGGGCCCGCCCCCTCCGCCTCTGGCTACACGTAAGATCGACCAGCACCTTCGGCCCTCCATGTTGCGCCACGGCCAATCGGGGGGGCCGCAGCGCATGCCGCGCGAAAGCCCACGCCAGACTTCCAGGCATGCGCTGATCCCCGTGGGGCCGCAGGTGGGCTGGTGTCGTTCGTTTCTTGGTCCAGAAGATTGTCAGGAGGGGAAAAAACACACAGACACAATTAGTCGTCGATTCCCGGGAATTGGGCGGGAAGACAAAACCACCCAGAAAATATGGGAAAATATGGGGCATATTCTTATTTGTGTGTATTTATTTGTGTGTCCTGGGGCCCCTCCAGTTCTGGGGCCCCCAGATGTGGCCGACTGCGCCGCGACGTCGCGGCGGCCTGCGCGTGCCCGGGCCTGGCCTCCCCGCCCCTTTCCCCGAGAGCCGCGCGCCAAAGGGGGGCACTCTTGCCTGGGGCCACTCTCTTGCGCGTAGCCGATGCCTTCCCCCCTGGGCAGCGCCCGGGGGGGGGGGGGATGAGGAGGAGGAGGAGGAGGAGGGGGGAGGAGAGAGGAGGAGGAGGAGGAGGAGGAGGAGGAGGAGGAGGAGGAGGAGGGAGGAGGAGGAGGCGGAGGCGGAGGCGGAGGCGGAGGCGGAGGCGGAGGCGGAGGCGGAGGCGGAGGCGGAGGCGGAGGCGGAGGCGGAGGCGGAGGCGGAGGCGGAGGCGGAGGAGGAGGAGGAGGAGGAGGAGGAGGAGGAGGAGGAGGAGGAGGAGGAGGAGGAGGAGGAGGAGGAGGAGGATGTCGGGGGTAATCCTGGCACCGCCGGCGCGTCGCGCCACCGCCGCCACGCCACGGCCGCCGTGCACCGCCGCCGCGGCAGCCGCGAGCCCCTGGGCCGGGCGGCGAGGCGGCGCGGCCGCCCCGCGGGCCCAGGAGAGGGAGCTCTCTCACTCGAGCTCTGCGGCTGGGCCTCCCACATGAGCGACGCAGGGAGCTCTGGACGCCCGAAGTGGGCACGGAAAGAATGGGTACGATGCCCAACAGCAGTTCTTGCTCATTCTGAAAAGGGGTCGCTGTCCGCGCCGCCGCGGCCTGTGTCCATTCGAGACAGGAGGCCGCCCGCCCAACAGCGGCCGCTGTTGGTTTGGGACAACATTTGTTGTTGGGCATTGTACCCATTCTTTCCGTACCAATTTCGGGCGTCCAAAACAACGGGGTCGCCTGCGCCGACATTGGCGCGCAAGCTGATAGCGTAGGGTCGCGCGTAAGCGCCCTCGTCTCCAATGCAGCGCACCTCGCTGGCGGCCCGCGCAAGCCGCCGCGTAAGGTCGCTACGCCATCTTGCGTAAGACTCCCTTTTGATCGTCGACCAGATGTTGTTGCTGCGTCCATGATGTTTGTTGTTGAGATCGTGGTCATATTTTTTTGTGTGAGTGTGCTCTCTCTCTCTCTCATTCACTCATTCTCTTATTCTCTCACTCTCTCATTCCTGGTCTGGCGGCTAGTCGCCGTCGCCGCCCCCTCGCTGCCTCGTCGCCGCCAGTAGTCTGAGCCTGCGGGCTGGTCTGGCTGGTAAGTAGTCCCCGTTGCCGCCTAAATTGCACAACGTACATTGCACCGCATGTATTGCACCACATCGATGGCACAACATATATTGCGCCACATAGATTGCACAGCATATACTTCATGGTGCCAACATCGCAGAGCGGATCTCGTTTGGAAAACGATAGGATGGGCCCGGAGTGTCCTGGAGAATTTCGTTCTGGATTTCGATGTAAATTTCGTGCGGATTTGTTGGCCGGGAATGAAAACTAACAAATCAACGCGAAACTCATTTAGTGTTTCATTCGCTGTTTCGGGGTTTTGCATTGACAGAAATGCACGCGAAAATCCCCTGCAGCACGTCTGCAAGGTCGGTGCAGCCATTTCTTGCATCAAATCTATTGCACGACGTCGATAGCACATCATATATATATATATATATATATATAGCCCCACTGAGAGACTGCACCGCGTCGATTGCACCGCATGAGCACCTACATGGACTGCACCGCATAGTTTGCACCACATTTATTGCACACCGTAGATTTCACAACCTAGATTGCACCACATAGATTCCTCGAGATCTGTTGCACACGATAAATAGCTACACACGCACTGTATGGGGTCCACGCTGGTTAACATCGTTAATCTTTGTTTATCTGTTGCTTCTTTGTTTCCGCGGCTGTGGGGGAAAGGCAGAGCAGACCCAGCCAGCGCCCAGACCCGTGGGTCACTTTGGGGTCATGGTTTCCGTGAATGTTGCAGTTGCCAGGAGATGGCCGATACAGTCTGCAGTCTGACTTGCAGCTGCCAGGTGTTTGCAGTTGTCATGAAGTTTCCATGCTCCCCGATACAGTCTGCCAGGAGATGGCGGCATGCTCCCCGGCGAACGCAGCGGCTACCCGTGAATGAAGTCCCGGAGGCGGGTGCCTTTGGAAGTGATGGTGATTGTGATGGTGACGGTGATGATGATGATGCTGATGATGATGATGATGATGATGATGATGTTGATGATGATGATGATGATGATGACGATGAGGATGAGGATGAGGATGAGGAAGAAGAGGAGGAGGAGGACGCAGAAGAGGTGGAGGAGTTCCCACATTGCTGCATGGCGCCTGAGCCGCTGTGGCTTGTCTTTCTCTGTTGCATCACATTACATGACAAGTGCTTCTCCGCCCTCTAGACAGGAGGTCATCAAACGTAACAGCCCAGCGGCCCCAAAGCTACAACGCGCCGTTTTTTATTATAGACGTAAGCACATGTTGACGCGTCCGATGGGCAGGTGGACTGACATGCATGGGCTGGATGATTATTTGTTGGGGTGGGAGTGCAACATAAGAGTGTTTGGACGCGTTTTACCTTTCCTTGGACGAATGCCGCCCAGCTTTGCAGGACACCGTAGACCAGATGATGATTGTCCACCCTATTTTGCAGAAAGCATACGACGCGTCGGTGAACATTTTGGATACTATCCTGCAGTTCCGCATGCGTATTTACCCGACCGCCGTGTGCTGTGCTGCCCAGCTTCGACTGGCGAGCGATGCATTCGATGCTGCGATGCCGCCGGCAGGGTATTGCCACAATCGTGGAAAGCAAACAGTCACACCGTGCCTGAGATCTTCGCAACAAAGCCGTTTGTGTTTCAAGATGGGGGGATATCGGGCGCATCCTACATGAGATGACATACCTGGGGGCCATGCTCGACCCAGCTGGGTCCATCGTTTCGGAACCACAGGCTCGGGTCAAAGCCCTACGGATGAATTAATGCGAGTTTGATGGGGTTTGGTTCGCGAACATCCCGAAGGCCGTCGAGCGTGCTGCGTCTATCTCCAGGGCCCCGGGAGCGGCGGTGCCTGGCATGGCAGCTCTGTGTCTGCAGAGCGTCGCTTATTCGGGCTCGAGGCGTGGCTGCCCTGCGGCACCTCGGAGCTGTGATGCCAGGCGGCACTCGAAGCGATGCGCTAGGCCAGATGCGCACGAGCGGTGGCGTCGGGGCTTGGACGTCTTGGAGGGCCTGCGCATCCGCCCTCAGAGGGTGCGAGGTCGTCGCCTGCGCGGTCCTCAGTCAGGAGGGGCAAAAAACACGCAGACATAATTACTCGTCCACTCCCAGGAACATGTGGGAAAGGAGAGTGGGGGGGAAGGCAACAAAACCCAGAACATATGGGAAGCTATAGGGCATCCTTTTATTTGTGTATTTATTTGTGTGTCCCAGGGCTCCTTCAGGCGATGATCAAGTTTCCAGTGGAACACGAGGTCTCCGTTGCCACCTTCTTCGGCCAGATGGCGTGCGAGGTCGAGAGGGAGTTGGACTTGACATCGACGCCTGCAGGAAGTGTACATCATGCTGCTAATCCGTCGGCGCAGCTGTTCGTGGCCAGCGTGCGTAGTCTTCTGGAGGTTTCGGGTGGGGACGATTTCGGAGTGTCTGGGATCAAAGCGTGTACTCTGTTTTTGGGATGGGAAATCGGATAGGCGTTCTGCATCTTGGGTCCTAAGAGCAAGCTTCTGGTCTTCTACGGTTGCTCCACCTGAATCTGATGTGGTGGGCGCTGATCCTGTTCCTGATCATGGTATGGCTTTAGAGCCCATGTAAGAGTGCGATGCAGTGCTGGGGAAGTGTTACAAATGTGACGCTAGATTCGCTACGTATAGAAGCCTTAGAACTCGTGAGATGAAATCGCACGGGGTTCGAAATTCTGCTCGCCTGGTCATCATGTAGTTTCAATTTGAAATCCGTGGCATGCGCGAAGCAACATTTACAGTACGTCTTGTGCACCAGAGATGTTTTGCCGACCGTTCTTCTCTGGATGTGCCCGTCCAGCAACCAGTTGAACTCACGTGCCCGTTTTGCCATACTGGTCCTCTGCCGTGTTTGACTCAGCTCCGGGTGCACATCTGCGAACGCCTCTCCATCTCGATTGCGCACGGCATTGTCCTGTATCATGGGCCGCCTGACGGAGGTGACGGCGCCGATTGATGTCGAGGCCAGATCCAAGAAACCGCGCAAGGGAGGAGGACAGGTAAAACACAACATGTGCAGCAGGGGGCCCGAGTGGACCTCAACGCCATCGAAGCCGAGACCGCCAAACGGGTGCTGATGGTGATGAGAAAGCAGGTCGTTAAAAAGATTTGATACACGCGCAGGACCGAGCCGCGAAGGGGCATCTCGTGATCATTGGTCTCGAAGGGGCGCTAAACGAGTAGGTGGATACCGCCCAAGTCGAGGCGAGTATTGGCAGTTTCGCTTGCGTCCCACAAGGCGAGCGTTCTGATCAGGATGTTCAAGGAGTCCGACGTGGGCGGGGCAAACAACAAGGCGTTACAAGAGTTATGTCGGAAGTAGCAGCAGGTCTCGATCCAGGAGGCCGACATGCAGTTCCAGGTTATGATGATCGAGAAGGCTTTTGACAACGACATGTGAGAATTCTGCATGGTGATGTGCCTCTGCCCACACCGTGCCGTGCCCTGATGATCAACGCCCTGAAGCAGATCGAGTTCTTCTATTCGTATGCCCCCGCGCACCTCCGGGTTTACGGAGAGACAGCTGTCGATGTGGATCCTTTAGCTGGGTGCTGGATTAGAGCCGTCCGTGTACATTTGGACTCGGACAAAGAAGAGAGAGAGAGAGAGAGAGAGAGTCGGGACAGTATTCTGAATACGATTGCTGATGATGCGAAAGTAGGCAGGTCGTGATTACTGATGTTGGGGGCGCCAGTAATCAGGGACACGTGAGTACTGATGTTGGCAGTGAGAGTCTCCGTCGAGTGATTAGAACGCGATCATGTGTGCACGTAGTGAGGCTTCTGAGCAGTATCGACATGATGGCCATCCGTCGGACCAGAGGGACAAAAAGCGAGACACCTCTCCCCACCATCTCCTGGACCGAAACCCGAGCTCTACTTTGAGCTTCTGTCCGCCTTTGAGGTAGCGTGGCCGAGATTTTTCCCTCATTCCCGAAACCAGAGCACTGCCCCGAGTTCAGTAACGAACAAGAGCGAATGCTCAAGTTCCACTATAGTAGAGTGGTGTTGGAGTGGGACGGGGGAAAGAGACTGGCCGGTTAGCTCTCTCCCTTCGTTGTCGTCGTCGTGTCGTTTGCTTGTCTCGCCCGCCCGCCGTCGCCGTCGCTCTTCGTTTGCCGTCCTGTCCTCGTCGTCCTCTTCATTGGCCGTGTCTTCTTTTTGGTCCGAAATGCAAGCTGCCTCCCACTTTCGCTCAGAGGGGGGCTCCTTGGGAGGGTGAGGTCGGCTTGCCGTTCCGGGGCCATGCGTTCGCCACCACGAGGCCTCAGGAATATTTTTTACTGCAGGACAAGGCTGTCACGATCTAGTGCGTCTTTTTGTACTGGTTGCTTGGATCTTGCTCAGGCCATAACCTGCGATGGATAGATAGAAGAGGGGGATAAGGAGGAGGAGAAGAAGAAGGAGGGTGAGGAGGAGCAGGAGGAGGAGGAGGAGGAGGAAGAGGAGGAAGAGGAGGACGAGAAGGACGAACAGGAGGAAAAGGAGGAGGAGGAGGAGCACGCCAGCGTAGGGCAGAAGTCGTGCAATCGCCGACGAGAGCGCGGGCTTGGAGGACGAGGATGAGGAGTAGGATGTGGATCTCCTGCTCATTCTTTTTCCAGGGGGCCTCCCGCAGCACCGGTGTCGCGAAGATGCCTCGTCAGCGCCAGTCCTATCGTGTGAAAAGGACTTCTCTGGCGATCGTCTGATCACCAAGGGCTCGATGGCCTTGGTTTGCTTCCGGATGGCGTTCCCCTGACCCTTGTTTTGTTCGGGTCCGTTCAAGTGTATGTCAAAGGATACAGGAGGAACGATTCTTGGAGGCCTCTTCGGAGCATACTTTCGTGGACGGCTTTCCCGATGCTCCTGCCCCCCCTCTCGGTTTCACGTCGTAGAGCCTTCAACATGTAAGCTACCAGCAAGATGCGTGCTTGGTATGCTGTTGCCAGTGATCAGTCGAACTGTGCTCTGCCCCGACGGGCAGAATTCGACCCCAGTGCGACATCTTTGCCCGACATGCATCGTCGGCACCGTTTGTAGGGCCTCGGCGGGGTGGTGAACACTTTTTTCCGCTTCCCGGGGCAGCACCGAAACATATGTACACCAGGATCCCGTGTACACCAGGACCCGCTTTCTTGTGCAAATTTCAGTGCAGGGCCAGTAAAAGCGTCGGTGTCTAGAGTTCGCTTCCCCACATAATTACCGCTACCCTTGCCTGGTTTCCCCTTTTGGGGCTTCCTGGGAGACCCTCGTCGCCACTTTCCAGCCCGAGGGCAGGAGGAGCACCCTCCCTCGTGGGACGGGGATGGCTGGAGAGGACTTGCGGGGATTCGGCGCCCCCATGGGGTCGGGGACGGGCGTCAGGATGCACCGGGGACTGACAGGGGGGGGAGGGGGAGGGGGGCGAGGAGGGAGAGGAGGAGGAGGAGTAGGAGGAGGACGGGGGCGGGGATGGTTGTGAGGAGGGGCGGGATGTGGAGGGGGATGGTGTGGGGGGGGGAGGGGGATAAAGAGTAAGAGGAAGGCCAGGATAAAGAATGATGATGATGCTGCTGCTGATGATGATGATGATGGTGATGGTGATGGTGATGGTGATGGTAATGGTGATGGTGGTGGTGATGATGATGATGCTGATGGCGATGATGCTGATGATGATGATGATGCTGACGGTGATAATGCTGATGATGTTGATGATGATGATGATGAGGATGACGATGACGATGACGATAATGATGCTGATGATGATGCTGATGGTGATGATGATGATGGTGATGATGATGATGATGATGATGAGGATGATGCTGATGGCGATGATGCTGATGATGATGATGCTGATGATGATGATGATGATGACGGTGATGATGCTGATGATGCTGATGATGATGCTGATGGTGATGATGATGATGATGATGAT